CTTTTAAAGGCACGATTCTCGAATTCCTTTAGCATCGGATGATATACCATCGAGTCGGTTGGTTTTCGAATACCGGACACCGGTAGCGTCCTCCTACGTTTTGTCACATATCTATGTAACTTTAACAAATAATCGAAAAGAAAGATGTTGTTTTACGTATGTCGTACGTATGTACGTCTCTCTTTCGAGTCTTTCGTTTAAATGTCGATCAAGATTGATATCGTTTCGCGTGGTTTATCAAGCGGCTGGGTATAGGTATCGCTGAAATTTCAAGTTTCAAGTTTACTTTCCACTCGAGGTCCTCGAGTTGTTTCATCCAGCGACAACTGCCCCGTAATTTCCGTGGAGCACGAATTGCATAGTTTGTGGTGCATAATGTTCTCCGAGTGTCAGCTCATTTTACACGGCACACCGAAGGATAGAACTCGAGCGAAAGGGTTAGAGCTCGAGCCATTAACAGCCAGGATAATTTGGCGCTTAGTTGCCGAACCGACTGTTACGGCCGCGGCGCTCGAATCTTGGTCGGTATCTGGCCTGGAAACGGAAGGAGATAAAACGACGCTGCTGCGGGAGACACTTAAACGAGACGATAAACCGCCAGCTGCCAGTTTTTTGGCCACGGTTACGCGTTTCTCGGGAGATTGCGGTAAAATGATTAATGGAAACTGCGGATGGTATCGCGAGGCCCGAATTTCAGGACAACGACGAACCTAGCAGAATCATTTTTTGATGGATCGACCGACCGCGTTGATGGATCCGTCGCGTTACACGACTTCTTACTTACCGTCGCGCATCGGTGCAGCTAATCCAGAGATTTCGAGAGCGTGCTGCAAATTTGTTCTCAACTAAAGTATGATCGAATATCGACGAACCGAGCATCGATTGTTTGATCGTTGCGATCGCAAATTGTTCCTTCGAGGATAAATCGAACTTTCGATGGGACCGAAGACGTTAACGCAACGCAACACAACACAACGCAATGCAACCCAACGCGTCAAAGAGAAGATAAAATAGGACGACCGGGCTCGAGGAAGCATTGGATATTCATGATCCGGGTAACGATATCGGTGATCGACCGTAATGAACTCGGTGATGGATGTCCCGTGGTTAACCGTATTCGGAAACGGTTCCGCGCCGTGCCGCGCCGCGCCGCGCCGCGCGTTGGTGCACGGTGTGGCTCGATGCGAGGTGAATCGAGTAATGCGCGAATAAAGTCAATTTGCTTTGGTACGCGCAAGTAGATATACCTATAGGTATACGAAATTCATTAGAAAGATGCCGGACCAAACGATTTCTTTTGAAAATGATTAAATGCGTGGATTTTAGTTGTCGTCGGCAATCAAAGAAAGTTACGAAAGGATTTCCCGGAAACACTGGCATCGAGGCAAATTTTAAATATTATTTAAGTAAAACGCGAGAAACCGATTCCATTCGCAACGCGCACTATTCCGAAGCGTTCTTCTCTCGAGTGCATTACTCTTCGCGATGCGACGAATTCGCGCGTAATTTTCCACGGAAGAAACCGAGCTGAAATTAATTAAAGGGGCAGAGCTCGTACCCGGCTTACGGTGGGACACTTCCTCTTGTACGTTCAGCCCTCGACCCCTTTCGACGAAAACAAAGGTCGCGAGACGAAAAGGTCGACAAACTCGCCTAATTATTTTCCCATTTGCTCTCGAGTCGGTAAGTTTATCACTGCTCCGTCCGGCCGCGCCGTCGTTCTTAATGCTCCACGAGTAACAAATGTCGAAAATAGAATTTGAGATCAGCCTCGTAGACTTTTAACTCGGTTACCTGATCCAACGTTCCGTGTACATTCTCGAATCGCGGCAACTCCACGTTTGGAAACGGTGAAAGAACAACCTCTCGACTATCGAGCTTCGTAACGCGGTTAACCGCCTTCGACCGGACGACGAAGCAAAACGTCCGAAGGAATCACCGAAATTCTCGCTACCCTCTGCGAGTATCGAACTTGTCCATTAACGCTGGATTTCTCTATTCCCCGGCAAATCTCGCGCTTTCGTTTACAAGCTCGAAGTAAACCTCGGCTGGGAGTCTCGAAGGAAGGCTCGCCAACGAGTGTCGTACCGGAAAGCGGTTGTTCTAGTCCTTGTCAAAGTCCTTGACGAGAAATCCTTGATTACACGTGGAAGCACTCCACTTCGGTGGTGCTCGCTGCTCGCAGCGAGGGTGGCTCGCGACAACCGTTTGCGTCGTTTTCAAACATCTTTCGCAACGGCACCCTTCGGAACCTCTCGAAACGGCCCAACGTCGAAAAAGGCTTTCAGCGGTCTTTCGGAGTTGTAAATTTCACGGGAACTTTGGCCGACCGAACGTCACGTTCGACCTGACCTCTTTTCTCGACCACGCGCGTTCGCTCTGCTTAAAAGTTCCTTGGAACGCTCGCTATTTCGCAAGCTGCGCTGCTATTTCGAGACTAAGACGCGCTTTTACGGTGCTACTCGGTAAATTTGTAGTTTCTTTAATCGTACCGCGTTTCAACGCTCCCTACCTACCGAGTAATGGAATTTTTTCTTTGCGAATTATCGGTTGTTCACCGCGGCGATTCTCCAACGTTCAACGCTTCCTTACTCCCTTTCTCTCTTCTGTCTCCAACATCGATGATATCGAGCTAATTGCTTTTCCAAACAGACACCTCGCAAAAGATACTAATTTTGGAAAAGGATACGCAACGTCAGTGTTTTTCAACGAAAACTCGTGTTGGACGAAAAGTTTAAAGAGCCGTACTCTTATTCTCCTGACGAAACCTTGGACTCTGGACAAAAGTAAATGATCCTTCAGGAAGAACCTCTGTTAAACGGAGATCCAGAGATTTCCGTTCGGACTGTTTCCACTTCCGGAGGCGAGACCTTCGCCACTGCCGAACGCCAAATCCGCGTCTCTGGTCTATTTAATTAGCGCGCGAGATGAAGGGCAAAGGGTTGCCCGAGGTGGTCATTGCTTTAACGAGGCGACCGTCCTCTCATTGGAAGGGTACTCGAGAATCTTCTCGACTCATCCTTGGCGTGGAATCAGCCGACGTTCCTCGATTCGCTCGGATATACCAAAACCAAAAGCATGCCCTTCGCCGAATTTCCCTCTGCTTACATTGCCGACGTTAGGGCTGTTTCTTTGTTTCGCTTTTAGCAGCGAAAAAACGCGGTAGATCCTCCGTAAGTTTCTTCGATTACCTACAAGACAAGTTGCTCGAGTTTCGATAAATATTTCTCGTGCTATCCAAGTGGTTGTTTATCTACCGAGCGATGAAAAGGGAACGCGATCAGCGAGAAAGAATATTCTCGGGAATCTCGACGGGTGTTTCGCGTGCCAATAGGGTTGGCTTCGAGCGTCGTCGCGTCGCTTTTCCACCACCGTCCGTCGTAACCTCGTTTCAGTCGGGAATAGAATTTCCGCAACGTGCGATTTCCTTAGCTCGCGTCGACCTCGCGAGGATTTTAACGCGATACGATACGCTTCCATCGGCTTGTCGGGGTTCGCGTCAAAATATACTCGAGGTATACTTGGACGATCCATCGAAAATTATTTACAGTTTATTTGTCTACCTCGATCGGTTCTTTTACAAGTATAACCGAACTCGACGAATCGAAAGCCGCGGATTGCTCCAACGGAAGAAAAAACGCGTCCGAATACATCTCGAGAAAGCAAGGCCCGTTTCGTTGATCGTAGTCGGGCTGGGATAAAGGAATCGCGCGATGTTGGAAAATCACGGTGTCGGGGCCGTGGAAAGGGAGAGGCGCCGAGACGTCTCGGCGTCGGTTTACCAGCGGTTTATCGGCGTCGTCGTCTCGCAGCCGCTCTGTTTCTCGTCGACGCGTCTCCTCTCCTTCCTATTTCTCTATCGATCTTTTCTGCTCCCTGTGTTTGGCTGGCCGACTACGACACACTCTGTCACCGTCTTTTTCGCGCTAGCCGCCGCCGCCGGGTAAACGACGTTGATGGACCAGCGTCGACCAGTAAAGCGATCGTGACGACACGAGGCAGCGCGAGTGCGAGCGTAGGCGCGGGCGCGCCGTTTGTTTGACGCGTCAAACAATTTATTCGACCTAACGACGAATGTAACGGTTTCGTATTTACCCCCGAGATTTGCATGGCAGTAGCTGCGGCAAGCAAAACACGGGCTCGCCTCCTTTCGATCTCCATGACGCTCGTGAGGCGGGAATGCGTCGCGACATTACGATACTTTTCATTGTCGGCGCCGGCACTGGCGTATCAAGACCGATGACACAGAGGTCATCTCTCGAGAGACGTATTTCATTTTTGCATCGAACCACAGACCGAAAACCACTCGAGACGGTAAACGGACCTGGAAACGGGAGAAACGAAGAGAAAAGAGAATATTCCGATTCTCGTGTTTGATCGGATCGGATAGGATCGCTTAGCAATTTGCGAGAAGAAACATCTTTAGGTTTTCCGTATTTTCGAATCGCTCTTCGTAGAAATTATTCGAATGTCGCGATACTTTTTTCCTCTGGTATTTCGTGGAACGCAAAAATCCTCCCCGAACACCACGCTACGATTTCACGGTTCTTGGCCAGGAATATTTTCGTCGTTATAGTCCAACATTTGCTCGAATCGTTTTATCGGAAAGCCGATTTCTTTGCGGCTGTTTCGTTTCCTCTAATAAACCGCATCGCGTACGCGCGAATGCGCCCTCGCGATCGGCTCTGCTTTGCCGGGAATTTCGTAGCAGGCCACTTCGGATAACTTGAAATCGGATCGAACGCGGTATTACTTTTCACGACATCGTAAAAGAAATTTACGAGGTAAAAACCGTATAACGTTATTACCCGAAATGGTTATTTCGTGGCCCAAAGAGATTTATGGATACCGTATGAAAACGGTGCGACACTGTCGAATCGCGTCGATTTCGAACGAGAGATGAAAATTTATGCGACGCATCGTTGACCGAGTCGTCGATATTTCCACTCGCATCACGGATAAGTCGAACGCAGCAATGAAACGATTCGCATTGGTTGCAGGTTCTACGGACGTTTGGCTACCGCACGGTAAGCAGCGAGCACCAAGATGGCAGCATTCGTGGCGAAACAGATGGTCGGAAACAAGCTGAACGCTGTTAAAGGTACGAGCCCGTCTTTCCGATTACTTTAAAAACTCGCGAAAAAATTCGGATTCGATCGAATCTCGAACTCCGAAACGTACACGAAAGAATTTTGCGACGAGTCGCGTAGAGATCGGGGCTGAATTCCACGAACGGTATCTTGAACGATCCTTTGTAGTTCATCCTTCGACGTACATCTTCCGCGGAGAATAATCGTCGCTCGGCGAATCGCGTCGCGAAACACGTTTTCTTTCGTTTGTTATCGGGGAAGTTTGTTTGCGAGAATGCTCCGGTTGCTCGATTATTGGACAGAGTTTAATCCCGAGGGATCGGCTCTCGTCGCGCGATCGAATCGAGAATGGAATCTGCGAGCGACGATCCAAGTATTTCCATTAGCGAAACTCTATTTGCTCTTAAGTTGCGCGACGCGTGGACCTTATCGCAAGAAAATTCCTTTCGCGAGAATGAAAATTCGATTCGTAAGTGTGAGCGAAATCCAACTTTGGAGATAATAGGCGTAATCCGGTTCGTGCGTCCCGAATCACAAAACTGCGATCGTTCTTCTCGCACGAGGAATCGCAGCGACGCACGATGTTTGGCTCGATACGAAACCGAGTCGAATCGAAGACGCGATCCCGGTCTCGGAGAATGCCGTTTAATCGTCACCGAAACGATATCGGCCGGTGCGGTGGGCGAAAACCACCGTTTTACCGCGTCTCGATATATTTCTCAGAACAAGAACGATCTCAGAGAGTTGGAATTAAGATTGATCGCTCGCGCGAATCAGGAAGGAAGAAGGCATTAGTCCGAATGACGAAGCAACGTTCGCCCACCACGGGAAAAAGTTCTTTGTATTCGGTTCTTGGTAGATTCGTTCGTAACGCGCTTATTCCCGTTTCATCGATCCACGTTAAAAGAATCTGTTTTCTCGATGCGTGGCGATGCAACGAATGATTCTCGTCGATCCCGAGGAGAATCGGTCCGAGTATTCGCGAGTTCTCGTCTCGGCTATTCAACGACTCGCTCGATTTTCATCGCTCAAGGTGAACGATTTGCCACGCCTCCGTGAATGATAATCGCTCGCGAACAACCGCGAATCCAACTGTTACGAAACCCACTCGGTATGCGTAATCGAATCGACCCGCGGTTAACGGACGACTCTCATCCTCGAATCCGTTTTCACATCTAGTCTCTCGCGTCGTTCGTAATTAAAATTTCTAACGCGATGAACGCCTTTTTCCGCCAATTCCGCGGAGTGCGTACGTCGTAAAAGACGAGAAGACGAGAAATGGCTCCGTAGCATCGACACCGACGCTGACGGTTCGCGATCGGACGTATAATCATCGTTGAGGAATCCAAGTGGAGCAACCGCGAGCTAAAATCTGCGCGTCGCCGCGCCGCGCCGGCTGGCTTGTCGGCTCGCTGGCAGCTTGAACGATGGCTCGCAATAAAACTTGCGTCGTTAAGGGAAAGTTTCGGTCTTCGCGACTGCCACGAGCGCGGGAGCCGACCGTATCGCGGAGAATCCGTAATGGGAAACGAGGACTCTCGGCCTCGGATCTCTCTTCGAAGAAACCTTAACTCCCCCGAACGGGATCGATTTATCCTCTTTCGTCGCGTTCTTTTTTCGGTTCCGTTCCGCGACTTCTCCTCGACCGTCGGCGTCGTTCTTTCTTCGGATCTCGTTCGCAATCGTATCGACTTTCTTATCTGGAATTGGCGCGAACGATACGACTAAGCGTAGAGGTTAGTTTTAAATTCGATTTAAAAGGTTGCAGTCGAAAACAACCGTAGAGAAAGTTTCAAAGGACCACAGCCAAAATCGGTTCCCGAACAATTATCACGGTTTGTCGGTTGCGATGCAAAGCACTCGTGGGAGAGGAGAAATCGAAAGTTCCGAGTACCGGAACTCAGGGTTTGTTCGAGGGTGGAACGGTAGAGTTTTAGCGGGAAATGCGGTGGGAAAGTTTCGCCAAGCTCGAAGAGTGGATGAATCGAATGGCAATTAGTTTGCGGTGACCTGGATGCGTGCCTCTCTTCGTTTCTCTCGAGAGGGACAGATGAATCGTCTCCCCTTGCCGTGCGACGCGCCGCGACGCACCGATATCTCGCATCCCGCATTCGTCTATCCGAACCTCTCGGTTGACAATCAGATGTCCGCTTCGGAAAAATAAAATGCAAACGATCCAAGAGTGAAAGTTGTATATCGTATGTTGTATGAAGAACGACAAGGAGACGAATAGAGTCCGAGCCACGGGGATCCGCGTGCCGAATCTGGAATTTTTGCCTCTCGCGCGAGGAATCGAGTCTTTGCAAAAACAAAGGGGCTGCACGAGTGTAGAGGTAGCCGAAAGAAAGCCTGCCAGTCGCTCTCTCGTCGGAAAATCTGATGCTTTCTCCGTGAAATCTACCTATTTCACGGTTTCGATCAGATTCGCGACTCGAGAATTCGCGCAATCGCATTCGCGGTGGATTTATTCTCTCCGAATCCGACGATTCCCGTTTCTTCGGCCGATCAACGTCAACGATAATCGATAGACTTATCGATAAATGTTCTTTCGACGGACAGGATAACGTACGTTAATCGTTATTTGTTTCGGAAAATGAATCGATGTCATCTCTTATCGGCCGATAACGTGATACATTTTTCACGGAACATGAAGACGAATTTCATCCGCTCTAAAAGTGTCCAACTCTCTTCTTCGAACATCTTACTTTATACATACGTTTTCGTTGGCGAGAATATACGAGGCCGTGTCTGTGAGCATATTCGATGAAGTTGGGTCCGGCCGCAAAGTCGCTAATGGAGCTCAAAGGATTTGCGGAGGGATTAAGCCGACCGCCACGTCCAAGTTTCTCGAGTACTAAACATAACAAACTTATTTCGAAGCTCCTGCGCAGGCGCTGTCGCTGTCGTTGTCGCGTATCTCCATAAGAAATTCTGACACTTGGAGGATTCGGCTTTTTAAAATTTTCTCGGTTCTTCGAGATACGTAAACTAAAAGTTTCATCGGATAAAAAGTAATTTAGGAATAGGATTTAGTGGAAAAGTTCCCATTTCAAAATTGCGTCTATACGTATATCGCAACGCATCGCGTCGCATCGATTTCAGTGGTCCCGATCCTCGACCATGAGGTAAACTACGCGGAGATCGTCGCGCGCCAATTATCGGGCCGAATTCAGGACCGAATCTATGCCGGACCGGAGCCTGAAGTATGGTCGCGGTACCGATTGCGGTCGAACGCGGTCGAACCGTAGTTGCGATATCGGCTGACCGATACGCTTACGTGGTTCGCGGCAAACCCGATGGAACGATCCTCGTGCAATTTCACCGAAATATCGCGTACGGTTCTATTTACGACGAGTCCGGCAGTTGTTTCTTTCTTCCCCGAGTTCATCGAGAAAGAACAAAGACCGTCCGAGACAAAAGACCACCAAACGAGAACAAAGTTTTCACCGACTTATTCCATTCGGCTCTGATTTTATTTCCATCGCGTTGTTCGCGATGCTCTCCTTTCGAACGATCGCGATCGATTCGACTCGAGAACCAAACGACTCGGCTCAAATCTGCTCCGTGTGCTCTTTCTCGACCATGTTGCGCGTTCACTTTCCACTCGCTATTAGATCCCGTGTCGTGGTAGACGTTAAGCTTCGTTCCCTGATTTCGGGGAAGTGATTTCCAACCGGTTAATTGGGCCAACCGGTGTTTTTCTCGATCATCTTTTCAACGTCGGTCGTTACGGTAGACGTTGCGTTGGCACGGTTTTTATCTTCTTTTAGACAACCCATCGCGTATCGAGTATCATCGGAGGATTCTGCTCGTCCATCGGAAATTTGGCCGAATGGGACGGGCGAGTGGTCGTGCATCGTACATTGTTTTCCGAAGTCAATTCGCGTCAACTGCAGGGAGACAGCTGTGCCGCGATGGCTCGTTGAAATGCCTGGACCGGCCCTCGAATAAATCACGAGCCGCATAATTAATTGGGACGATTGTTTGTCACGTGGCGATATCGATGAACAAGCCGGGTCGTCGACTAAACGTTAAGCCCAGAACTGATATTACATCGTAGCGTTGGATCTGTTCGGTCTTGTTTTCGAACGAGCCGTTGCGCGTTTTCGCCGATCGCTTAGATACGAGTAGCAACGGTTCTTTATACATACGTGTAAAGTATTCTCTTGAAATCGTTGGAACAAAGCTGCGAGACATCTATCCGAGTAAGTACTTTCCATGGACGCGCCGGTACCGCTCGGGTAACCAAATTTACAACCATTTCCTCCCTCGCATGATGAAATCGTGAGGAGAACAATGTGAAAATTAGCTCGGAGAGGCTGGTCGACGCGACGCGTTTCGACGTGGCGCGTGACACCGAGCGCGAACGATCCACGACAAGTTATTAAATTAACCGCTGATGGGTGCGCAAAACGAGCTGGAATAATTAAACGTCGCTCTCAGCGGGCTCGGTAAATCATCGGACGAATTAAAACAAACGGAAACGCGGATCTAGTAACGGGTACGCAAATCGACCGCTGTTCGACCGCTGTTCGACCACGATGCAACAGTCAAACCGAACGTAAACGGCAACGCGACGTTTTTCGATAATTGTTCCCGTCGGGTCCCGTTGCAGGATATTCGCGCGAACGCCAATTCCGAGCGTGTTCCTAGCGATTCGAAAGAGAGCAACGCGCCGCGACGAATAATTGTAAGTAAATTAGATGGATCACGTTATCGCGGTATGAAGGTGTATTTACGAACGACAGCGAGATTACGTTCCGTTCAACGAACGTCTTTTTCGACGAGAATACGTTCTCGCACGGATATTCGTTTCGCTGTTTAGACGTAATCGCGTTAACGATGATCCGACACCGAACAGGAATTATTTTTCTGCCGTGATACGTGATGCGTCGAGAGAAGGAACAACGCGAGGCGAAGCTGGAAGAGGAACGAAATAGTTCTCGGGGACGCGCATTGTACGCCCGTGACCCTTATCTCGGGATTGTGTCGCGTTAAATAAGAACAAAAG